GACTATAGACTAGACTATAGACTAGACTATAGACTAGACTATAGACTAGACTATAGACTAGCCTATAGACTAGACTATAGACTAGACTATAGACTAGACTATAGACTAGACTATAGACTAGACTATAGACTAGACTATAGACTAGACTATAGACTAGACTATAGACTAGACTATAGACTAGACTATAGACTAGACTATAGACTAGACTATAGACTAGACTATAGACTAGACTATAGACTAGCCTATAGACTAGACTATAGACTAGACTATAGACTAGACTATAGACTAGACTATAGACTAGACTATAGAGTAGACTATAGAGTAGACTATAGACTAGACTATAGACTAGACTATAGACTAGACTATAGAGTAGACTATAGACTAGACTATAGACTAGACTATAGAGTAGACTATAGACTAGACTATAGACTAGACTATAGACTAGACTATAGACTAGACTATAGACTAGACTATAGACTAGACTATAGACTAGACTATAGACTAGACTATAGACTAGACTATAGACTAGACTATAGACTAGACTATAGACTAGACTATAGACTAGACTATAGACTAGACTATAGACTAGACTATAGACTAGACTATAGACTAGACTATAGACTAGACTATAGACTAGACTATAGACTAGACTATAGACTAGACTATAGACTAGACTATAGACTAGACTATAGACTAGACTATAGACTAGACTATAGACTAGACTATAGACTAGACTATAGACTAGACTATAGACTAGACTATAGACTAGACTATAGACTAGACTATAGACTAGACTATAGACTAGACTATAGACTAGACTATAGACTAGACTATAGACTAGACTATAGACTAGACTATAGACTAGACTATAGACTAGACTATAGACTAGACTATAGACTAGACTATAGACTAGACTATAGACTATAGACTAGACTATAGACGACTATAGACTAGACTATAGACTAGACTATAGACTAGACTATAGACTAGACTATAGACTAGACTATAGACTAGACTATAGACTAGACTATAGACTAGACTATAGACTAGACTATAGACTAGACTAGACTATAGACTAGACTATAGACTAGACTATAGACTAGACTATAGACTAGACTATAGACTAGACTATAGACTAGACTATAGACTAGACTATAGACTAGACTATAGACTAGACTATAGACTAGACTATAGACTAGACTATAGACTAGACTATAGACTAGACTATAGACTAGACTATAGACTAGACTATAGACTAGACTATAGACTAGACTATAGACTAGACTATAGACTAGACTATAGACTAGACTATAGACTAGACTATAGACTAGACTATAGACTAGACTATAGACTAGACTATAGACTAGACTATAGACTAGACTATAGACTAGACTATAGACTAGACTATAGACTAGACTATAGACTAGACTATCGACTAGACTATAGACTAGACTATAGACTAGACTATAGACTAGACTATAGACTAGACTAGACTATAGACTAGACTATAGACTAGACTATAGACTAGACTATAGACTAGACTATAGACTAGACTATAGACTAGACTATAGACTAGACTATAGACTAGACTATAGACTAGACTATAGACTAGACTATAGACTAGACTATAGACTAGACTATAGACTAGACTATAGACTAGACTATAGACTAGACTATAGACTAGACTATAGACTAGACTATAGACTAGACTATAGACTAGACTATAGACTAGACTATAGACTAGAGTAGAGACTAGATTACAGACTAGAATATAGACTAGATTACAGACTAGAATATAGACTAGACTATAGACTAGACTATAGACTAGACTATAGACTAGACTATAGACTAGACTATAGACTGGACTATAGACTAGACTATAGACTAGACTATAGACTAGACTATAGACTAGACTATAGACTAGACTATAGACTAGACTATAGACTAGACTATAGACTAGACTATAGACTAGACTATAGACTAGACTATAGACTAGAGTAGAGACTAGATTACAGACTAGAATATAGACTAGATTACAGACTAGAATATAGACTAGACTATAGACTAGACTAGACTAGACTATAGACTAGACTATAGACTAGACTATAGACTAGACTAGAGACTAGACTATAGACTGGACTATAGACTAGACTATAGACTAGACTATAGACTAGACTATAGACTAGACTATAGACTAGACTATAGACTAGAGTAGAGACTAGATTACAGACTAGAATATAGACTAGATTACAGACTAGAATATAGACTAGACTATAGACTAGACTATAGACTAGACTATAGACTAGACTATAGACTAGACTATAGACTGGACTATAGACTAGACTATAGACTAGACTATAGACTAGACTATAGACTAGACTATAGACTAGACTATAGACTAGACTATCGACTAGACTATAGACTAGACTATAGACTAGACTATAGACTAGACTATAGACTAGACTAGACTATAGACCTAGACTATAGACTAGACTATAGACTAGACTATAGACTAGACTATAGACTAGACTATAGACTAGACTATACTGACTAGAGACTATAGACATAGACTAGACTATAGACTAGACTATAGACTAGACTAGAGACTAGACTATAGACTAGACTATAGACTAGAACTATAGACTAGACTATAGACTAGACTATAGACTAGACTATAGACTAGACTATAGACTAGAATATAGACTAGAGTAGAGACTAGATTACAGACTAAAATAGACTAGATTACAGACTAGAATATAGACTAGACTATAGAGACTATAGACTAGACTATAGACTAGGACTAGACGAGACTATAGACTAGACTATAGACGACATAGACTAGACATAGACTAGACTATAGACTAGACTATAGACTAACTATAGACTAGACTATAGACTAGACTATAGACTAGACTATAGACTAGACTATAGACTAGACTATAGACTAGACTATAGACTAGACTATAGACTAGACTATAGACTAGACTATAGACTAGACTATAGACTAGACTATAGACTAGACTATAGAACTAGACTATAGACTAGACTATAGACTAGACTATAGACTAGACTATAGACTAGACTATAGACTAGACTATAGACTAGACTATAGACTAGACTATAGACTAGACTATAGACTAGACTATAGACTAGACTATAGACTAGATTATAGACTAGACTATAGACTAGACTATAGACTAGACTATAGACTAGACTATAGACTAGACTATAGACTAGACTATAGACTAGACTATAGACTAGACTATAGACTAGACTATAGACTAGACTATAGACTAGACTATAGACTAGACTATAGACTAGACTATAGACTAGACTATAGACTAGACTATAGACTAGACTATAGACTAGACTATAGACTAGACTATAGACTAGACTATAGACTAGACTATAGACTAGACTATAGACTAGACTATAGACTAGACTATAGACTAGACTATAGACTAGACTATAGACTAGACTATAGACTAGACTATAGACTAGACTATAGATTAGACTATAGACTAGACTATAGACTAGACTATAGACTAGACTATAGACTAGACTATAGACTAGACTATAGACTAGACTATAGACTAGACTATAGACTAGACTATAGACGAGACTATAGACTAGACTATAGACTAGACTATAGACTAGACTATAGACTAGACTATAGACTAGACTATAGACTAGACTATAGACTAGACTATAGACTAGACTATAGACCTAGACTATAGACTATAGACTAGACTATAGACTAGACTATAGACTAGACTATAGACTAGACTATAGACTAGACTATAGACTAGACTATAGACTAGACTATAGACTAGACTATAGACTAGACTATAGACTAGACTATAGACTAGACTATAGACTAGACTAGAACTATAGACTAGACTAGACTATAGACTAGAACTATAGACTAGACTATAGACTAGACTATAGACTAGACTAGACTATAGACTAGACTATAGACTAGACTAGACTATAGACTAGACTATAGACTAGACTAGACTATAGACTAGACTACACTATATACTAGACTATAGACTAGACTATAGACTAGACTATAGACTAGACTATAGACTAGACTATAGACTAGACTATAGACTAGACTATAGACTAGACTATAGACTAGACTATAGACTAGACTATAGACTAGACTATAGACTAGACTATAGACTAGACTATAGACTAGACTATAGACTAGTCTATGAGTAGATAAGCGTTACAAACAACAGCACAAATCCACTATTGTAGTGTAGTGTATAATAAGAAAAGCAAAGGGAAATACGTATAAATTGTATATTTCTAATTATCATGGTAATTACACCTAAAACCACAACACTGAAAAAATTAATCAGAAATAGAGTGTTATAAGATAAATGTTAGACTATAGACTAGACTACAGACTAGTCTATAGACTAGACTATAGACTAGACTATAGACTAGACTATAGACTAGACTATAGACTAGACTATAGACTAGACTGGACTATAGACTAGATTATAGACTAGATTATAGACTAGAATATAGACTAGATTGCATACTTGAATATAGACTAGATTACATACTTGAATATAGACTAGATTACATATTTGAAAATAGACTAGTTTCGCTTACTCTAGGAAAGATTATAAAAAAAACACCTCTTATCACATAAATCGTTTTCTGCTAGATCTCATAAATCATTTTTCAGCTACAAATACAAAGAAAAATCGCTGAACAGAAGAGCGCAAGTGCGACTTTATTGTCTTGGCGCTAATAGTTTATTTGATCGTTTGTCATTGTTGTTGTTATTTTATTGGTACAATAAAAGTTAAGATTTTTCATGTTGCTGCTGCTACTGTTGCTGCTGTCGATTGTTAATTTCTCATATTTATTTTTTTTAATACATATTTTGTTTTATTCATTCATTTATTTATTTATACGTATGTATGAATATTTTGTTTTGTTTTTGCATGAGCACCAAACAATGATCTTTTAATATCAGTCACTAAATAAACGCGCAACAGGTAACACAACAAATAAAATAAACGCTCGCAAAATATTAATTAAATATATTTTGTTTAAAAAAACAAAAGAAACGAAAAGTGTAAATAAACAAAACTATTATAATGGTTACTATTATGTTCACAAAATAAACCGCCAAAATAAAGTGTCGAAATTTTGTTCAATCCAACTTAAGTTTAATTTAAAACAAAACGTGAAGTAGTGACAATTATTTGTGGTAATTAATTATGCAAAATAATTTATCGTAGATTCTTTAAAATTAAATCAAAAATAATTAAATTGAAGTCACGTTTAAAGTGTTGTTATAAAATATTTCAATATTAATTCCGAAGAAAAATAAAATTAAACAAATAAACTAAAGGATCATAAAGAAAAGTGCTAATGAATTTATTTTATTAAACCAAAACGATCACAAAATCAAATTTTAAACAAGCGTTGATAAGCTGCATTAACAATAATCAATTATTTGCTGAAACACTTTAAAGATTTCGGTTAAAAATTGCTGATTTCTCAGAAAGGTAATTGTTAAGTGCTAAAAATTCATATATTTTCATTATATGGCCAAGTGACGTAAAAAAACATGTTTATTTGCCATAATCGATAAGTGTTTTTAAAAATTATTTTAATCAACCAAATTAGAGCCAAAATTTATCTAAGAAAAATCTTAAATATCGGTCTATAGTTGGCTGTAACAGACATTTATTCTAAGCAATCATTCATTTTTTAAGTTCTGTATAGATCGGCCTGAGAGTCCCCAATAAGAATCTCAATCTACTTTTCATAATTAGAAATTTCTTAAATACAATTAGAAAGTTCTGAAATATAATTGGAAAAAGTTTAGAATTCTGTAGAGATCGGTCTATAATTAACTTAAGCCCCCATAAGAACGGAAAGAATCCAATCCCCACTTTTTATAATTGAAGATTTCTAAAATATAATTAGAAAGTTCTGAAATTTAATTAGAAAAAGTTTAGAATTCTGTAGACATTGATCTATAATTGACCTAAGCCACATAAGAACGGGAAAAATCACAGTCTGCTTTTCATAATTGGAAATATCTAAAATACATATAATTATAAATTTTTGTTATATAATTGGAAAAAGTTTAGAATTTTTAGTGCATTTTGATATTTAGGATTAGTGATCAAATATTTAACCCCTGAGTCAGTGTCACTAATGGAAATTTTATTTTCAAAGTTCAGTGGTTTTCAAAGAAATTCATAATAATAATAAAACATTTTATTTATCCAACTGTATTTCCATTATTTAGATATAATGATTGATGCAAGTATCGGAATTGAACCCAAAGTTTTCAGCTGTTTAAATAAAATGTTATATTTGCAAATAAACAATAAAATTATTAAAATTTTTTCTTTAATATAAACAATAAGATATATAGATATATAGATTGATATTTCATTTCAAATTTAGACGCACAATAGGCTAGCCAGTGGTCTCATCAATAAACTAGTTACTATACTAATCCATGGATTAATTAATAGGCTAGTCCTTAAACTAGTTAATATCCTAGCTCTTAGACTAGTCAGAAGATTAAACAACAGTCTAGTCCGTAGACTAGTCAATAGACTAATCAATAGGCTTGTCAATAGACACGACCACAAAAGAGTCAATAAACTAGACAAAAGTTTAATTAGTTTCATTAGACTAATCAATAAATTAGTCATAGACTAATCTGTAGATTAGTCCATAGACTAGTCAATAGACTAGTCCATAGACTAGTCAATAGGCTAGTCCATAGACTAGTCCATAGACTATTCAATAGGCTAGTCCATAAACTAGTCCATGGACTAGTCAATAGACTAGTCCATCAACTAGTCCATGGACTAGTCAATAGACTAGTCAATAGGCTAGTCAATAGGCTAGTCCATGGACTAGTCAATAGGCTAGTCCATAGACTAGTCAATAGGCTAGTCCATAGACTACTCAATAGGCTAGTCCATAGACTAGTCAATAGGCTAGTCCATAGACTAGTCAATAGGCTAGTCCATAGACTAGTCAATAGGCTAGTCCATAGACTAGTCAATAGGCTAGTCCATAGACTAGTCAATAGGCTAGTCCATAGACTAGTCAATAGGCTAGTCCATGGACTAGTCAATAGGCTAGTCCATGGACTAGTCAATAGGCTAGTCCATGGACTAGTCAATAGGCTAGTCCATGGACTAGTCAATAGGCTAGTCCATAGACTAGTCAATAGGCTAGTCCATAGACTAGTCAATAGGCTAGTCCATAGTCTAGTCAATAGGCTAGTCCATGGACTAGTCAATAGGCTAGTCCATAGACTAGTCAATAGGCTAGTCCATAGACTAGTTAATAGGCTAGTCCATGGACTAGTCAATAGGCTAGTCCATGGACTAGTCAATAGGCTAGTCCATAGACTAGTTAATAGGCTAGTCCATGGACTAGTCAATAGGCTAGTCCATAGACTAGTCATTAGGCTAGTCAAAAAACTAATCAATAGGCAAGTCAATAGATTATTCCACAGTCTAGTCGATAAACTAATCCACATATTAGTCAATAGGCTAGTCAATAAATAGTTCATAGACTAGTCAAAGACCAGGCAAAAGTCTAATACATATACTGGTCAATAGTATAATACATAGATTAGGCAATTTACTAGTTAATAGTTTAGTCAATAGGCTAATCAATAGACTAGTCAATAAACTAGTTCATAGACTAGTTACGTTCCGTGATGAATCTGCTAATTCGTTTTTGGCTTACGGAAACCAATGTAAGTCGTTAGTTTGACCGTGAGGTTGGATGCCTTTAGGTTTTTGTTGATACCTAACGTAACGTTCCGTAGAAACTAATTCTTGCTTAACACAAAGCAAGATACATTTTTAAAAAGGGTAACAAAAACACTATTTAGTTTTCCCAATAGAAGTGAGTCGGTCTAAAGGTGTAATTGTTTCCTTTCAAGCAATTGTATCATGAACTTGCAACTGTTTTAAATATAATTCGCATTGACAACCAAGTGACGCAAATTAATTATATTAATTATTCGAAATATTCTAGTAAAAGAATTAATTTGTTTATTTAAAAAAAAAAAAAAAAAAAAAAAAAAACTATTGTTATAAATACACTCACCTGTTATTGCTTTTGTTATATTTATTTTTGATTGAATGAAAGTATTTCGCACAAATATAAACTATTTCATAATCCAATTTTATGCCAAACGCTAGCGTTGACATTTGGCCGCGTGTTACACAGGTGATAAATACTACATTATTTGTTTGTGAGCTAAGTGATAGTAATTGCTACGCATTATTTAATTAATAGCAATTCATTTGTTGAATATATGTAACATGGACATTAGCAGCGGATTCATCATCTTTATAACACTCTATTTGTGATTAATTTTTTTCAGTGTTGTGGTTTTAAGTGTAATTACCATGATAATTAGAAATATACAATTTATACGTATTTCCCTTTGCTTTTATTATTATACACTACACTACAATAGCGGATTTGTGCTGTTGTTTGTAACGCTTATCTACTCATAGACTATTCTATAGTCTATTCTATAGTCTATTCTATAGTTTAGTCTATAGTCTAATCTATAGTCTAGTCTATAGTCTAGTCTATAGTCTAGTCTATAGTCTAGTCTATAGTCTAGTCTAGTCTAGTCTAGTCTAGTCTATAGTCTAGTCTATAGTCTAGTCTATAGTCTAGTCTATAGTCTAGTCTATAGTCTAGTCTATAGTCTAGTCTATAGTCTAGTCTATAGTCTAGTCTATAGTCTAGTCTATAGTCTAGTCTATAGTCTAGTCTATAGTCTAGTCTATAGTCTAGTCTATAGTCTAGTCTATAGTCTAGTCTATAGTCTAGTCTATAGTCTAGTCTATAGTCTAGTCTATAGTCTAGTCTATAGTCTAGTCTATAGTCTAGTCTATAGTCTAGTCTATAGTCTAGTCTATAGTCTAGTCTATAGTCTAGTCTATAGTCTAGTCTATAGTCTAGTCTATAGTCTAGTCTATAGTCTAGTCTATAGTCTAGTCTATAGTCTAGTCTATAGTCTAGTCTATAGTCTAGTCTATAGTCTAGTCTATAGTCTAGTCTATAGTCTAGTCTATAGTCTAGTCTATAGTCTAGTCTATAGTCTAGTCTATAGTCTAGTCTATAGTCTAGTCTATAGTCTAGTCCTATAGTCCTAGTCTATAGTCTAGTCTATAGTCTAGTCTATAGTCTAGTCTATAGTCTAGTCTATAGTCTAGTCTATAGTCTAGTCTATAGTCTAGTCTATAGTCTAGTCTATAGTCTAGTCTATAGTCTAGTCTATAGTCTAGTCTATAGTCTAGTCTATAGTCTAGTCTATAGTCTAGTCTATAGTCTAGTCTATAGTCTAGTCTATAGTCTAGTCTATAGTCTAGTCTATAGTCTAGTCTAGTCTATAGTCATATATGCTCGTCTATAGTCTAGTCTATAGTCTAGTCTATAGTCTAGTCTATAGTCTAGTCTATAGTCTAGTCTATAGTCTAGTCTATAGTCTAGTCTAGTCTATAGTCTAGTCTATAGTCTAGTCTATAGTCTAGTCTATAGTCTAGTCTATAGTCTAGTCTATAGTCTATAGTCTAGTCTATAGTCTAGTCTATAGTCTAGTCTATAGTCTAGTCTATAGTCTAGTCTATAGTCTAGTCTATAGTCTAGTCTATAGTCGTCTATAGTCTAGTCTATAGTCTAGTCTATAGTCTAGTCTATAGTCTAGTCTCTATCTAGTCTATAGTCTAGTCTATAGTCTAGTCTATAGTCTAGTCTATAGTCGTCTATCTAGTCTATAGTCTAGTCTATAGTCTAGTCTATAGTCTAGTCTATAGTCTAGTCTATAGTCTAGTCTATAGTCTAGTCTATAGTCTAGTCTATAGTCTAGTCTATAGTCTAGTCTATAGTCTAGTCTATAGTCTAGTCTATAGTCTAGTCTATAGTCTAGTCTATCGTCTAGTGTATAGTCTAGTCTATAGTCTAGTCTATAGTCTAGTCTATAGTCTAGTCTATAGTCTAGTCTATAGTCTAGTCTATAGTCTAGTCTATAGTCTAGTCTATAGTCTAGTCTATAGTCTAGTCTCTAGTCTAGTCTATAGTCTAGTCTAGTCTAGTCTATAGTCTAGTCTATAGTCTAGTCTATAGTCTAGTCTATAGTCTAGTCATAGTCTGGTCTATAGTCTAGTCTATAGTCTAGTCTATAGTCTAGTCAATAGTCTAGTATATAGTCTATAGTCTAGTCTCTAGTTCAGTCTATAGTCTAGTACATAGTCCTGTCTATGGTTGTGCCTTGTCTATAGTCTATTCTATAGGTTTTTCTTAAGTCTAGTTTATAGTCCTGCCTATAGTCCGCTTTGCAACTGATATTAGAACAGGGGGTATATTTGATTGTTCAAAATTTGTTGTTTTCTAATAAATAATTGAATTTTTTGTGTATTGTATTAGTTTTTGGACATTATTTTTGTTTTTTTTTTTATTTTTTATTTTTGATATGACAGGAATTCATTAATGACCACAATAT